ATTCATCTCAAGGTGCATTGCTTCATGATTAGACAGTAGAAAAGTTTCAAATGTTTTCACTTAATGTAAGTTCTCTGTTAGTCCACCAGGTGGTGACTGAATACCATTGTTGACCAAAGTCGGGCCATGTTACCTGAAGATGCCATTTTGTGTCAAACAACAGAGGCTAATTTAATGGGGGGTGGAAACTGAAGAGTTGTTGGGAATCTTAGCATTGTGTTTTCCAAAAGGGAGTGCACTAGAAGCAAGAACAGTGCCCGCTAAAGACAGGTCCTCAATGGAAGTAAAACACGAACAAAACCAAAGTTGCCGGAAAAGCCCAGCAGGTCTGGGAGCCGTTGTGAAGCAAAAAGACAGAGTTGATGTTTGGGTCCAGTGACCCTTCCACAGAACTGAATGGAAGTAGTGGATAAGCACACTGGCCCCTGCTGGTTGGTTCAATAATGCATTAGCCTTTACTTTAACCACATTTAAAAGCATCTCTCTCCTTTCCTAGTTTTAACTCCATTGAAACTTTTCACCAGGCCTTTAAACAGGCAGAATGCACAAAGTGACAAAAGATTTAACTCAGAAATCCTGGCGTGCAGGGAACAGAAGCACAAGCAAAAAAGAAATGATAGCTGCAACACGGTGTGTTTTTGGGAAGCCATATCTGCATAAATTTATTAGTCCAAGACATGTACTGTAGATACAAACATAATTAAATACAAGAAACAATTTCTAAACATCAATCACCTTGGTAAATGTTGTCCTTAAATCTCCTTAAATCAGAGGCTTTTATTTTTGGGAAGAAAATGGTAATTAAAAAATAGCTGTTGAAACCTCAAACCACAGGAAGATTTTAGTTTTTTTTTAACATTTTGACTGAACCAATGTGACCCAGTCCGTCCTGGAGCAGTGAGTCAAACATCACCCTTCACACACCCCCAACCCAATGCCCAGATAACATCAAGTGCTTGGCTGGATTATACTATTCTTAGGCTCTGCGTAAGGCCAAACAGTCCAATCATTCACAAAAATAGAAGAAAGCAAACAGCTCAGTATTTTGGAAGCCCTTTATCACTTGTCATATTGATGAAATAGCTGATAAAGGGACAAGCCCCTTGTAATATTGAGCTTCAAGGATGAGACAAAATGTTGAGCAGCCTGTGGCAGCCATTTTGAGGTCTGAAGGCCAATTTTTAAAAAATTCGTCCCAATTATTTGTTTCAATCGTCCAGTTACACTCCTTCCTCCAGTCTGCATAAAGAGAGACTCACTGTATTTAATTCCAAAGCATAAGTCGTCAAACTCTCAGTGAATCACGATAGTTTTCTCGCTACTGGGACTACAGCCCGTACCAACCGTGACTAGTTTTGACTTAAAGATTAAAATATTTTGTCTCAAAACGAACTTGTGGACACCTGTCCCTGTATTAAAGTGGGTTTGTAATCAATCCCTCATTACCAATAATAAATCTCATTCCTGATAGTGCGTAGACCTTGTGGAAAATTCTGAGGGGAAACAATGGGAGAGTATATGTTTAAATCAGTTGATGGCACCATTTCATATGGAAACTGTGGAGATCTATTCAACAAATGCTTGGGAGGTGGGAAAGAGGGCAGCTTTGCACAGGCTCAAAAACCTGTGAGTGAGGACATTGGTGAGGCCTCTTCTGGAAGTATTACGCTGGAGAGGGTTCAGATTTACCAGGATGTTGCTGTGTACGGAAGGTTTAAGTTATAAAGAAAGGCTGGATGGGCTGGGACTTTTTCACTGGAGCGTAGGAGGTTGAGAGACGCCAGATAGAAGTTTATAAAATAATGAGGGGTGTAGATAGAATTAATGGAAGTTGTCTTTTCCCTAGGATGGGGGATTTCAAGACTAGGCAGTACATTTTTAAGGTGAGAGGAGAGAGCTCTGAAAAAAGACATGAGGGGCAAATTCTTTACACAGAGAGTGGTTTGCATGTGGACTGAACTTCCTGAGGAAGTGGTGAATGTGGGTACAATTACAACATTTAAAAGTCATTTGGATAAGTACATGAATAGGAAAGGTTTGGAGGGACATGGGTCAGGAGCAGGCAGGTGGGACTAGTTTAGTTTGGGCTTATTTTCGGCATGGACTGGTTGGACCAAAGGGTCTGTTTCCATGCTGTATGGCTGTATGGGTGGATTCTCTCTGTCCGTGCTTGCCCTATGCGGCAACTAAAGGAGAACAAATCATTGTGCCAATAATGTTGTTCTTTCATTCTCTGACATGCTCATCATTTAAAATGGGAGGGGTGTTTGTAGGTGGAAACACATTCTTCATTTAATAACTGCATCCCAGGTGATGAAGGGTGAGGGGCTGAGTTACTTTTACAGGATTCACTCTGGGTGTTTATCATTGAAGGTGGCTACAAGTTTGGCAATACAACTTCCCCGCTTTCCCCAATAAAAGAGAAGTGTTGGACGCATTTTGTTTAAGGGCTCCCTAGTCATATCATTGCTAAACATCCCACTAACACACTGTGGATCAGAGGATTAATCCAGGAGCAATTAAGGAAAAAAAACACAATATGCTGCTTTTGTACTGTATTAAGGCTGTATAAAATATATTCATTAAAAATAGTACAGAGTCCTTGCTGAGGAGAGGATCATGGGAATACTAACACACTTGATGTAATACCTCATGGTTAGCGTCTAAGTTGGGTGATATTGCGAGGTAGTATGTGCGTGTGTGTGTGCGGATATACACACATACAGACAAGCAGCAAATAAAATGTGGAAACGCACTTTTAAGTCTCCGAAGTAATGCAATGTATGACTTGACGAGCCAATTCCTAGAAGATTCAGCATCATGCACAAGGTTTAACATGAATACAAATCAAGACTACTGTTCTTTAAAAGGATGCATTGATTACAGCGTGCTTGACAAAGAGCCAAGAATTTACTGAGAAAAAAATTACAACTTTGGTCAGGGCCGATTGGGAGATTAGCCTGTGAATCAACCAATTCCTTTGCTTTTTCACAATTCTACCCCTCCTCCTCCTCTCCAGAAGCTATACTTGCTGCATGAATCTAGGCAGTAAGTGATGGCAAACCATTCGACCCCGTGAGCCTTCACAGTCAAAGCCAATGCTGAACTCACCACACTGTCCTTTACCAATTGTCAGCTGGAGTCAGGTAGCTGGGTGATTAGGTGCTGGGATCCAGGCAAAGTCTCCTTCCTAATTCAACCAAGTTCAGCCTAGTTAAAGTACGCTAATCTTTGGCCAGCTGAGGTAAAAGACTTTGTGCAAACTGGAGATTTAAGTTTGGGCCTTCTGAACTGCATGGCTGGCCAACATTAAGTTAACTTGAGTAGTTTGGTGGATTTTGTTCTGAACCTTCATTAGCAGTATCAGGGAGTGAACCTTGAAAAGTTCCCTTAATCAACAAAACATTTTTAGTTCAATAAAATCCATCTGAGTGCTGAGGACTTCTATTGAGATTCCAATTCATATTTTTCCTCACTTTCTTTGTGCCTGCAGCTAACTGTGATGTGTGCTTTGGATTCAATCATATGAAAGAAGCAACATTGAGAAGATAAGAGTATCTGAAAGACACTAGAATGTGCTACTGAAGTGGTTAACCACTTGTATTAACATCTTTCGTGCCTTGTTTCAGGGACAATAGCAGGGCTTCATAAAACCTAATAGTTACTGATGTTAAATGTTGCTCAGTAACTCCTGACCAGTTGGGCATGACACATTTAAAGCAGACTGGGAGGCTGGATACAGGCTCTAGGCCCAGGCACGGTGGCTCAGTGGTTAGTACTGCTGCTTCACAGGGCCTGGGAACCCAGGTTCGATCCCAGCGTTGGGTGACTGACTGTGTGGCATCTGCATGTTCTCCCTGTGTCTGTATGGGTTTCCTCCCACAGTCCAAAGATGTGTAGACTAGGTGGATTGGCCATGCTACACTGTCCATTGTGTCCAGGGATGTTAGGCTAGGTGGTTTAGCCATAGTAAATGTAGAGTTATGGGGTGGGATGCTCTCCGGAGGGTCGGTACGGACTTGATGGGCCAAATGGCCTGTTTCCACACTGTATGGATTCATGGAAAGTTGTGGTGACCCATAGACTGAAGAAGCTTCACTAATTTCTGATCTCTTGCTCAGAAGAATAAAAAAGTGAGCTGCTTGTTGTCTTAATTATGAGGGTTAGTGAGGATGAGGGAGCCGACTCCCTTCACATTGGAAAGAGCTCGCAAGATTTTATCTCTTTAAGGGCAGCCAATAGCGCTGTACAATAGTCTGACAACCTGGACAGGCTAGAAGTTGCATCTGACATGACTTACAGCAAAGCTAATTTTTCTTGAGACAGGGAAAGTGAAGGTTGGTCCGACACGCTTCACAAAGTTTAACGACATTGACTAAACACAAGTGTTCGAACTGTCGAGGGAAAAGCTGGGTCCTTTACGGACACGGTTAAATTTCACACTTTCCAACAAGTGTGGAGCCAAAAATTTCAATGTGGGTATGAGCGGGAAAAACTGAACAGCGTAAACGGTAACCACTCTCCCCAAAGCAGTCACTACGCTTTAAGTCAGACACTCACATGAATTGATGACGTGGAGGTGCCGGTGTTGGGCTGGGGTGAACGAGGTCAGAAGTCACGCGACACCAGGTTATAGTCCAACAGGTTTATTTGAAATCACAAGCTTTCGGAGCGCTGCTCCTTCGTCGGGTGAAGTGCGCATGACTCAAAGCCAGAGTTACGTGGGATACATGAGGTTAAAATCAGACACGTGTCTTAAAGATGTTTCATGCAGAAATGGTCATAGCATGAGTAACTCTGTTATGGTGGTCAGCAGGGACTGTTGGAGAGGGATCGGGGTGGCATAATGTTTTGAAAATAAATTAACAGAAACACTGTAATCTCTGCATCCCTACTATTAACTTGAAAACTGTGACAGCTTAAGGCTAAATAAATGAAAACAAGACATTCTCAAAGCGATGGCAAAGTAACATATCTCATCAATAAGGCTTGAGGCACTGTTTATATTCAATCCAGAGTAACCATTTATTTCTTATTTCTTGTAGGACAAACACAATTATCTTTTATTTTGCTTTTCTTTGCAAGACGTCATCATTACAGCACAATTTCTTTCTTCTCTCCCCCCCCACCCCGCAACACAACTCTCTCTTTTCCCGTCATGAGCTTCAGCTGAGCGAGGTGATGTTTGAGCGTCCACCAGGGGGCGCAACGATGCGGTGCCCACTGCGCCGAGGACCATCATCCACCTGAGCCCCTGTAGAGAGAGAGAGGATTGGAGTGGCCATGAAGAACAGCAGCCCTTAGAGGTGCCAACAATTCCATGCCAATGCCCCCTCCGCATAAACCATCTCCCCTACCCCCTCCTTACCCTCTACAAAATGTCGCAAATGCCCTCCAATTCCCTCAACAAACTCCACCTTTCTCGTCCTGGGTAAGGAGGTCTATTGGATGTGCATCATTGTCAGGGACTAGTCTCGGTCCATCACTCCATCTCCATGTAACTTTTTAAAGTACACAGATAAACTCAACGTCCGAATTTTACACCAACAGTTTGGTCAATGCACATATTTGAGTGAGAGTGAGCTGGCCAACAGCCTTAGCACTGTAAGGCAGAAAAGACAATTTTAAGATGGTTTCTCCTCTGTTCTCTGCTTTCTTAATCTCTGTCATCATTTTCCTACAGTTCGCACAGAGGGATTTCTCTCTTTCTGCCTACGAGTTACCTCTGTCTCTTCCTGCCCCACTCACCATCCCTCTACACTCAGAGGACCAGTCCATTGGCAAACACCACATAAGGTAGCTAAGTCACCAATTCCATAAACTAAAGGCTGGTTCCTCAAGACCATCAGGCAGCAATAAGGGCAGAGACCTGAGATAGTATCTCCCCATTCCTAGGCTAACTCTGAAAGCCGTGGACAGATTGGAGGAGGAAAACCTGTGGCTCACCAAGCAGTTGATTGGCTATTGGTGGACTTTCGACCTGCGTTAGGGCCCGGGGGCAAGAAAGTCCTGGAATCACAAGAACTGCTTGACAACCAAAACCTGGTTCCTGCAGAAACAACACTTCCGTTTCCACCCTCCCTGGGCCTCCAGGATACGGGATCGCCCAAGGGAAAGGTATGTGATATTTTGGAGCCGGTGTTGGTGTCTGGCCAGGTGAGAGTTGTGATGGGGTAGAGGAAATGGAGACGTTGTTGACACAACCGGCACTACGTCCAATTCCCTGCAGGGGTTAGCGCAAACCGAAAAGGACACCACCCAACTGGCATCCTACCCGCACTGGTTTACCAGGAGGTTAGGCTGATTCTCTCTGGTTGTGCCCGCAGCCAAAATAATCGCAGCCCAGGCAGGGGGAGACCCTTAAGTGACCATTCACAGATCAGTTTAGGACTTCAATTGGCAGCACAGTGCCTTCTTGCTCAGAGCTTAAATCAGGCAGGGAAATGGCCCATTCTGGTCCACCTTTCTCAGTAAATTCCTGCTCCCACCTCTGGACCTGCCAACTCAGAGTCTGGAAGATTCTACCCCTTCTATTGGACAGAAAGAATTGGAGCAAAGGTCCACTCTCACCAACCATGTTGTCCTCTAACTTCAATTGTTTACTGACCTCCATCACAATGCCCCCATTTCTCACACCCACTGCACAGTCCAAGCGACATAAAGCATTGGTTGCTTTTTCCCAGCTAATGTTGTTGATATTTGTGGTTTGACAAGGCCACTTAGATAAATCCTTGGTGGGGGAGCTACTGGATGTTGCAGTGGAGCCTAGCCTTTACAGGGAGGAACCATTGGAATCTCGCTCCCTCTCTCTATATATAGGTTCTGAGAGTTGGTGCTGTACCTTCCCAAAACTGGTGGCCAGCTTTGGCCTCGAACTGCTTATGATGGATCATCCAGACGGCTGTCGTAGGTGGGTTCTTGAAGTCTGGACGCTAAAGGGGGTGTGTGGGTGAGGCATGGTCAAAGACCCCAAACTGGAGCTGGTGGGGTTTGGAAATGAAGAGTGCGAAGGAACATCTCAAGAGACTTTGACCTGTCCTAAAAGTCACCTGAGAATACCTAACATGGGCACTGATACCAAGTGGGAATGTCTTGGCTTCCCAGCATTCATACTCGTCACATTAACTTAAATCAATCCTTGCACATCGAAGAGAAAAGGGCATGTTGCAGTCACGGGTTTGAGACATTGAGGATTCAGACTCACGCCTTATTAGAAGGAGGCTTTTACATTGTGTGGAACGTTCACCGTCGCTTTTAAATACAAAAGCAGAAAGACCCCCAGAAATAGTGAACCTACTCGCTCAAGGTACCACAGATCCCTGCTCGTTGTTCCTTTCGACCTATTGTCCAAATAATCTGAAAACTCTCAAAAGAAATTGCAATTCTTTCCTGAGACTTTCGGCTTTAAGGGTTGAGGAGCTGGGGGAATGGGGACTTGGCTTTAGTCCGACCTATTTCAACAGATTAAATCCTGTCAGTTGTATTCACAAACCTAAACTCTCTTCGCCCCGAGGGCCCCAAGTAAGTTTGATTTTTAAACGTGATAGTTCCATACCTGCATTAGATTTTGTAAGACCATCAGTAGGGTCGTCCTATTGAAATGAACGGAAATGTTTAATTGACAACGGTAATCAGCCAATTTTTCTGAAGGGCTCAAGACTATCCTCTAATTACAGCTTCAAAAGATCACTTTTCGTGACATTGTTTGTTCATCAAATAACTGCTTCACAGGGCATGCTCTGGAAATTTGAATGATTTTAATGAAAAACAATCTAAACGTCATTCTCATTAAAAAATAGTCATAGACATCAACAACATTCAGAAGGTGTCTCCATTGCAATAAAGTGCCCCAAAAGAGAAACGGTCAAGCCAAACCACTTGTCTGATAGACTGCCCCCACACCTGCCTACACTCAACTGTGAACTTTGGTCGATAACTTGGTCACTGAGGCTGCATTTGTTGGCTGCCTGAGGGTTTCCGTGTGTAGAATTAAACCCGGTTCATGTTATCATGTTGGCCAGCCAAGATCACCTTACGGCATAGAGACAACAAGGTGCAGAGCTGGACGAACACAGCAGGCCAAGCAGCATCATAGGAGCAGGAAGGCTGACGTTTCGGGCCTAGGCCCTTCATCAGAAATGGGGGAGGGGAAGGGGGTTCTGAAATAAATAGGGAGAGAGTGGGAGGCGGATAGAAGATGGATAGAGGAGAGGATAGGTGGAGAGGAAACAAACAGGTCGAAGAGGCGGGGATGGAGCCAGTAAAGGTGAGTGTAGGTGGGGAGTTAGGGAGGGGATAGGTCCGTCCAGGGAGGACGGACAGGTCAAGGGGGCGGGATGAGGTTAGTAGGTAGGAGATGGGGGTGCGGCTTGAGATGGGAGGAGGGGATAGGTGGGAGGAAGAACAGGTGAGGGAGGCAGGGAAGAGCTGGGCTGGTTTTGGGATGCGGTAGGGGGAGGGGAGATTTTGAAGCTTGTGAAATCCACATTGATACCATTGGGCTGCAGGGTTCCCAAGCGGAATATGAGTTGCTGTTCCTGCAACCTTCGGGTGACATCGTTGTGGCACTGCAGGAGGCCCAGGATGGACATGTCGTCAGAGGAATGGGAGGGGGAGTTGAAATGGTTAGCGACTGGGAGGTGCAGTTGTTTAGTGCGAACAGAGCGTAGGTGTTCTGCAAAGCGGTCCCCAAGCCTCCGCTTGGTTTCACCGATGTAGAGGAAGCCACACCGGGTACAGCAGATGCAGTATACCACATTAGCAGATGTGCAGGTGAACATCTGCTTGATGTGGAAAGTCTTCTTGGGGCCTGGGATGGGGGTGAGGGAGGAGGTATGGGGGCAGGTGTAGCACTTCCTGCGGTTGCAGGGAAAAGTGCCGGGTGTGGTGGGGCTGGAGGGGAGTGTGGAGCGGACAAGGGAGTCACGGAGAGAGTGGTCCCTCTGGAAAGCAGATAAGGGTGGGTAGGGAAAGATGTCTTTGGTGGTGGGGTCGGATTGCAGATGGCGGAAGTGTCGGAGGATGATGCGTTGGATCCGGAGGTTGGTGGGGTGGTACGTGAGGACGAGGGGGATTCTTTTTTGGTTGTTATTGCGGGGACGGGGTGTGAGGGATGAGTTGCGGGAAATGTGGGAGACACGGTTGAGGGCGTTCTCGACCACTGAGGGGGGGAAGTTGCGGTCCTTGAAAAACGAGGACAACTGAGATGTACGGGAGTGGAATGCCTCATCCTGGGAGCAGATGCGGCGGAGGCGAAGGAATTGGGAATAGGGGATGGCATTTTTGCAGGAAGGTGGGTGGGAGGAGGTGTATTCTAGGTAGCTGTGGGAGTCGGTGGGCTTGAAATGGATATCGGTTTCCTTACGGCATACCTATTTCTAGAGTGTTCTGCACCACCACGATATCGAGAGGACCAGAAAAAGGCCGGTAAGTCAGCGTGGTGTTGGATGAGGGTTGCGTAGGAGCAGAAGGGACATGTTGGGTATCTCAATCAGGGAATGTGTTTCGTCAGGGGGAGAGATTGTACAGAGCCCCAAACAGAACTCCTGCTCCTTAGGGAGCACATGAAAACACATGCAGCAATTTTTTTTTCTTTATTCATTCACGGGATGAGGGCATCTCTGGCTATGCAGCATTTATTGCCCATCCCTAATTGCCCAGAGGGCTGTTGACTGTCAACCAGATTGCTGTAGGTCTGGAGTCACATGTAGGCCAGACCGGGTAAGGATGGCAGTTTCCTTCCCTAAAGGACATTAGTGACCCAGATGGGTTTTTCCCCAACAATCTACAATGGATTCATGGTCATCATTAGATTCTTAATTCCAGATATTTACTGAATTCAAATTCCACCATCTGTCATGGCGGGATTCGAACCCCGGGCCTGAGAATGTTACCTGGGTCTCTGGATTAACTGTCCAGCGATAATACCACTAGACCATTGCCTCCCCAGGCAATGACTCACAGACTCCTTCTCTGAGCATCTGCCCATGGATAGGTCAGGACCCTGAACTCGCATGTTCATTGGGATCAACGTTTGGAGTCAGGAGGGTGCTCTGATGAGGTTGCTACGGCGACAGTGATGTCAGGATTGATGGCAGTAGGCCATTCCTCTGCCAGTTTTCCCCAACCGTATCCACCGGGCTGCGGGTATCAAAACCTGCTCTTCTAAATCCAGAAGAAGATTGTTTGTCATTTGGTGAGGTTGGTCGATCTTTCTGTCGCACAGGCTTTTCGTTTCTGTTGAAGTGCATAGACTTGGCAGTACGATTGAAATAGTCAACATGGAGGAGTTGGCCATAAAACACTGAAAACAGCTGATGGAGGTCAAACGGTTAATCCCATGTATGGTTTCTAGACGTTCCTTAGAAACATCTAGAAACTAGCACTTTCAAAATCCAATCCTTGAACTTTAAGTGTGGGTGTTTTCTCATAGCTCAGCTGTCTCTGTTTGTGCCCTATATTAAAGCTAAATTCTAATTGAAAAGGAAAACAAAGGTCACCCAGGAACCAATGGAAGAGCAAAACCATTTTGCAACTGTTCCATTGGGACAACAGATGAATGCATTGACTGTCTTGAAGATGCAAAGACCTCAAACTTCCCAGATTATCTGACTTCCACTGTGTCAACAGTCAGGATATTAAATTTAGCCTCAGTTCCTTGAAAGTGACAGGGGAGAGAAAATAAATTTAGCCTCAGTTCCTTGAAAGTGACAGGGGAGAGGAAATAAATTCAATCAGAAATAATACCCTCGCTTATTCTCCAACATTAGAACCTATGGATGTCAACTGAGGGGATAATGGAGCCTCGTGTTTCCAAAGACCTGTCAATACTTTTTAGATCCCAACATGTGAAAACTGGGCTGAAGTATCAGAAAGACATTCGTCCCACAAACACTCCAGTTTGTTTTGGACTGAGTGACGAGGACGTTGGCGTAGGAAATGAAGGGGGAAGGAGAAAAATAAATACATTTCACAGTGAAACATTACGTTTAAATGTCATTTTTTTTTAAGAGAAAGAAAAATACTCACCTCGGCCTGATATAGCCTTCTTTTGTCAAGCTAAGTTTTCCTTCGTATAACTATGGGGAATGAGGCTATGCTAGCACAGCTCAACAGGGACAGTGTCCACCTTACCTGTCCTTGTCAGATTGGCTGCTCCTCAGGTTTGCACTCTACACCATGTCCTCACAAACTATCCTTGTCCTTTCAATGAATGAATGGCACAAATTGGCACTTTGTCCAATCCAAATAGAGAAAGCACCTTCCCACCCAGCTATATCTATCGACTGGTTAGCAAGGTTAGATCACATGGGGATCGAGGGAGAGCTAGCCATTTGGAAACAAAACTGGCTTGAAGGTAGGAGGCAGAGGCTGGTGGTGGGGTGTTGTTTCTCAGACTGGAGAGCTGTGACAAGCGATGTGCCACAACCATCGGCGCTGGGTCCGCTGTTTTTTGACACTTATATAAATGATTTGCGTATAAATATAGGAGGTATGGTTAGTAAGTTTGCAGTTGACACCATAATTGGTGGTGCAGAGGACAGTGAAGAAGGTTACCTCAGAGTATAACAGGACCTTGAGCAGATAGGCTGATTGGCTGAGGAGTGGCAGATGGAGTTTAATCTAGATAAATCTGAGGTGCTGCATTATGGAAAGACAAATCAGGGCAAGACTTATACACTTCATGGTAAGATCCTGGGAAGTGTTGACGAACAAAGAGACCTTGGAGTGTAAGTTCATGTTTCCTTGAAGGTGAAATCACAGTTAGACAGGTTGGTGAAGAAAGCTTTTGGTACACTTGCCTTGATTAGTCAGTGTACTGTGGATAGGAGTTGGGAGGGTCATGTTGTGGCTGTACAAGACATTGGTTAGGCCACTTTTGGTATTATGTTCTATTCTGGATTCCCTGTTGTAGGAGAGATGTTGTTAAACT